TGGTCTGAAATAGAGCAACAAGCAACATCTGCCGTAAAAGAATGTGCCATATCACTACCAAAAAAAATCCTCAAAAAATAAAAAGTATCGAAATCTTCAAAAAACCAGTGACAAAATATCAAAAATGATCGATAACTTCTTTTTTGGCTTCAGGAAACCGGAAAAACGAGCACAGAAGCAGCAAAAAGTATATCGCATGATTCGACACAGGAAGCATCTGCTTCAAGTGAAAACGACCATCAAAAAGCATCGGGAACGAAGATCAGCAGCAGCGCTGGATCTAAGGAATCTATCAGTCTCGGTGCTGGAACTGGCAACACAGAGGAATTGACGGCACTGGAAAGTGGTGCCGAAAATAAAGGTAATTTATTGAATATTAAGAAAAAAACTAGCTTGAAACAAAGAACCGGCAATGAGGTTGTTTTTGGATTTTGGGACATTATCATACACTAGAGTATTTCGCTGAGGCCATTTATCCTGCTTTATTTACGGCCATCTTTTGCTACAACTAAACTATCACTCAACATAGTGCTGAAATCCATTTGTGAAAATACTGCTTAATTATGCTTTAAATATGGAAAAAATTACTAAACACATGCGTAAACGCACAGGTGCACACATACATACATACATACATACATACATACATACATACATACATACATACATACATACACACATACATAAATACATACACACATACGTATATACATACATGCATACAAACGTGCTTATATACATACATGCATATATATGTATACATATAAACACAAACAAAAATACACACATGTATGTGCTATAATCTCACGAAAAAAAACACTAGATTGCATCCTCGAGTCAAAAATCAAGCTCCGCTTCCCTTCTTTTTCTGCCAGAGGCGAAGGCACTCGGAAAACAAACCGTGCCAGCGGCAAAACAAGCGCCAAGACTATCGATTGCTTCCCCTTTCGAGAGTTACTTAAATACATGCTGGTAAGGACCTTACTTTCGCCACATACGCCACTACCAATTTACCATCGAAACGAATAACTGAACCGAAAAAGATTTGTTTGCCCCATCGGTGGAGTCGGACGATTGTACTGTTATTTTTATGGAACAGGATTTTTTCAAAGCTTCATTTCGAGAATA